TACTACACATCTGTACTTAGCCAGAAGGTTATTATCAACTATATAGCCTGTGTTTTATAATGACAATTATTAATTGCGACAATTCGAAATGAGATTGGAAGATATTGGCCAACTGACTTTTTGCTTTTCATTAAATATAGATAGAAAAGACTTAAATTATCACTTTATGTATACAACATACATACCATAAATATAGGTGACTTAGAATAGTACAGATACTTGGGACAGCACATACTTTTGTTAAATTGTGCATTCAATCGTGATATCCCTCCAATCTCTAAAGAAATTGTAAATTTTCTTTAATGACTGGATGGATATCATAACTAAATTTAACAAAAGTATTCCAAATCATTCTGCATTATCCCAAGTCACCTATATACTGTGTGATACTGTTCTAATTAAGTCTTGTACATTTTTGTATGTTTCTGCATTATGTTAAGATATATTAAGCAATTAAAAAACACCTGTGAATAATGTTGAAAAAGACGAATACAATGTTCTCTGTATGTACGAGCACTCTTGCTTATAGAATGTAAAGAATGTTTTGTCGATATAACCTTTCACCCCTATGATAAAATGCTACACACACGAAATAATTATGATGGGGAAACGGATTAGTTTCCTATAAGTGAGCAATATCGGTCTAACGACGAAGCACTTTTTTTTGTCGATGACACACATATCGAGCAGTAAGTGACTACTTAATATGCAAGCTACATTGAACGAGCGATCGAAGGGTTGTATGATGTCATCGGTATTTACCTAAAACGAGGACATTTTTGTTCGATGGCAATTTGTTGTTGCCGCTGTTCTGCACTTCCGCGAGGATAGACGACCTGCAAAGCATACAGTAACATCGAGTAAGACACAATTGAGTGCGATCGAACGCGTAAATTTTTCTCACGCAGCAAGATGTATCACGCAAAGCGATAAGCATCTTATTGCAAACAATCATTTCGCGGCGCATTTCTCGATACCTAGTTAACGTCACATGAATTACGACACGTACCATAAGTTATCCTTATTTTCGACGTCCTCTTTCTTTTTTGTCTGAAAGCCATTGCTTTGTAACATCGTATCAACCGTCATCGCTGCCATTATTATCCATTTGACAGGAGAAGAATATCGATTGCGAGCGCGCGAGCGGCAATGTAATGCGCGGGTGTAGTGAAGATCGATCATATTGCGATTCGACCTCGATTCGATTACATCGAATGAATCAACCTTGTAGTCGAGCTCGCGATTATCGTAACACGTATTTAAAATCATAAAAATACGCATTGAGATCAAACCCCGTAAAGGAATATGTTGAATCGTTTTTTGCTCCCAAGCCAGCATGTAAAATTTACATGATATTTTTAAACACATATAAAAAAAATAACTCGTAATTACAGGCATTACTATAAAATTATTTTATGTTATTATTAAATCTAAGCAATATGTGTGGTATTTGGTCGCATTTTAATAACAAAATATGATCGTCTCATAGTCATCAAGTATTATTTATTATATCTATTTATTTCACATTATTATTCTATACATCTTCATTTCAACTCGCGTAAAATTCCTTCAAATACTCAGCTTTTGGTTTCAGTATGACTTTATCCTTAAGATTGACCACCCAACCTGGTTCCAGACCATAAAACAATTGCCGCGGATCCTTACGCTCGCACAACATCTCGTAATCAGAATCCTCCTCAATTTTCGGTAACTCGTAGCCATATTTTTGTGCCAGTACCAGCCGTTCCTGAGAAATCTTCTCAGGATCGGCTAAATACCCTCTCATACTGGCGCTGGAATAATATTCTAAGCAATCTGTCGGCGGTAAAAGCCTACGTGGTATTGGTTCACCTATATATTATAAAAGAAAAGAATTACATAAAATAAATCTTAGACTTAATGTACAGGATTATTTTTCAAGAATGAAATATGTTTAAAATTACCTCTACTGAAGAATTGTTTTGTATTGCACATAGCATGAAGGCAGCTTATGTCATAGTAGGCAGTTGTAATTACACCGCCATTTTTTTCAATTGCAGCGATTACAGGCTCACTGGCCCACTGTACCTCTATATTTATTTTGGCTTCAAAACAATGTGCACCCTTAAAACATAATTTCCATATTAATATTATCTCTGTATAGAATAATTATATGCAATTATATGCTATATATAATACAATACAAATTATATATAATACAATTTAAATTATATTATAGATTATACTATAGTATAATCTATAATATAAGTTAAAAATTAAAAATAAAAGTTTTAAATCATATCTAAGATAATCCTGGTTCAAGAAAATTTCTAGGTAAGATATAATCAAAACATAATATGAAAGATATAATATATCAGCTTACAAAAGTATAAATAATTCATACAACTTGTTGATTAACAATTAAATTATTAATCTGGCATAGTACTGCAATGTCACAGATTAATTTTTTATGATTTATTAATTAATATTTTATAATATAATTATAACATTTATAAAAACTTATAAACTATTATATGTTAAAAGCTCTAAATCTTAAATTCACAGGACATTACCTCGTCTGTCAAATGAACTCCAGCATGTTTCCAATGTACATTTATGTTGTATAGACCAGTGTTTATCAATGATATAAGATCAATTGGTTTACTGATATCTAGTCGATTTGTGTCAATATACAGCTGCAGCGTTTTTAAAGAAAGCGGAGGATATTCTCGTCTCAAACTAAAACACACAGGTTTTTTTATTAGGCATCCAACATATTTTATAATTTTACAAAATATAAATGTAAATTTATCAAACTCACTGATGTCCCTTATAATATGGTTCTTTGCTAAATCGTAAGTAAAATGGAGTATTTCCAGTTTCGTACCCCAAACGCATATAATTCTGTCTTTGGCCAGAGCCTTTATTTCCAGCACCATGCTTATTACCTCCATGTTGACCTCTACCACGTTTCTATGCATAAGAATAAGGGAAATTAAAATAAAATTATAAATATTATATTACAAATGTTATAATTATATTACAAAACATTATACACATTTACATATATTTATTTATACTTTTATAAGACTGATACATAGGATAAGATTTTTAATTCATCAATTGATCTATTCCAATGTGCGCAAATATAATTTTGTTCCACAAAAGCTGCATAATGCGCGATCGATCAATTGATAAATAAAAAACTGGCCTATTGTATCTTTTGTGTTATGTTCTGATTATATCTTACCGGTGATTTTCTTGAACCAGGATTATCTCGGATGTTCCCTAATGATAATCTAGGTAACACTCTTAGCATAGATAACGCCAAATCTTTTCCTTGCTTCCCAGCCATGTCAATATCAATAATTAATTGTTAACCAATTCTTAGATAAACAATTTTTTATAATAAAATGTAATAAATATATACTTCTATTTTGAAGCATCGACAAATTCCAACCTAAAAAAACTACGTCGCGTCGCGCCACATCGCGCATCGTGCGAAACTCATCGCAAATTTAAATCAAATTATCGATAATGTCAGCGTTCTTCAATTACCTCCGAGTCCTTCTTATAAAGATGAAAATTTATCCAGAATTGATGAATAAATACGCTGACACAAGAAAATCATAATATAAAATAAATATAAAATATATATAAAATATATATAAAATAATATAAAATCATATAATATATATAAAATAATATAATATATATAAAATAATATAAAATCATAATATAAAAATGATTAATAAAATAAATATGATAGAATATATATATAATAAAATAAATTAATAGAATTGATTTTTGTCATTACTTTAACGTTTGAATAAATGACATTTTGCCACCTGCTTGTTTCTCGCTGGCGTCTGATTGGCTAAACTCCCACTATTTTACTTCGGAATTGTATACTTTCTGATTTCACCATGATTGTCTCGGATTGGAACGATTGGAAGTTGCATTGTTGAAAATGCATCACGTAGAGATCGAAGACTTTTATCATCACGATTTTACTACTGTCTCCGAATGGGAAGTATTCATCGCGCGAATCGAAGAACTTATACACGAATGGAAGCTGCCACACATGAAGGTTACGAACTCCCTCAAACCAGGTGATTTCATCAACTGTCAGTGGCATGAGACCTCAGAGAAGCTAAACTTTGCAGGTTCGTGTTTAATAGTTTGATAAATGATAATAGTTTGATAAAATATATTGTTTGAAATATTGCGGATATCTGCAAAAGTTTTTTTAAAGGAAGATTTTTAGTAATAGAAATATTTTTAATAAGAGAGCATCAGCACAATTTGTGTATGTCAAATAATCATGTACATATTTATAATGTTTATAACTTTTTTTATTTGTATGAAACATTATGTATTTAATTTTTTGTTATTTGATTATGTATTCAGATGTAGAATTTTTGCTGAAACATTACAAGCTAGAAAAGGAAAGTGAAAATGAAGATGCAGCAAAAGAAGAAAACGAAGAAGAATGGATACAGTGTCAAAAGGATGCTTTAGACATATCGAATGATTTTGTAAAGCTCAATGATAATTGTATGGAAATAGCTCGTTATTATGGTGTTAGAGAATTTCTTGTTTTGATACCAGCTCGAAAAGCAAGTTTAACAGATGAAACTCGAATCAAAATTGTACTTAGTTCGCTAACAATTGCTGCTAACAATGCAAATTGGTAAGTAATTTGCCACACGATCGTATTGTATTTGTAATTACAATCCTGTAATTCTTTTTATCCATTTTAGTTATATACCATTACTAGTGCAGATACAAGAATCTTGGCAGAAAATGTATCTTGGATGCTGTGCTGGTAAAGGAACCTGTGTAAATCTTGACATGGTACATTTAAAGAAAATTCCACCACATTGCAGATACCTTACTGGTAAGCATTAGTTATGTTTTTATTTAACTTATCTTTGAATAATATTTATTTTTAATCTTTATTTATTTTTAATCTTAATAAAAAGTGAAAATTATTTTACAAACAGATATTATTTACAGGTTTACTTACTCTTTTCAAGCAGAAAATCGGAGAAGGCTGTGGTGTAAAGATTGATTCTGTAATGGTATCTGCTAGATTTTCTTATTTATTAAAAGACTGGACTAATAGCACGTGGACACAAGAACCTCCGGATTTTGATTTCATGCAAGGAGAAACATTAGGTGTGGCAGAATTGGGTAAACTTCCCTTTGGAGCAACTTTTGACCCCGTCAGGTATTTAGATGGAATATATTATTATCAGGAATATAATACGATAAAGAAAATATTTTTTTAGTCTTATATAAAAAGAATTTGCTGTAAGTTAATATATCATTTTTTTATAAAACATTCATGAAGTTGCTTCTGAGATCAGCAACTCTAACTTTTTTTTAATAGGAGCATAGAATTAGAATTGTTAATCTCAGAAGCAACTTTATAATGAATGTTTTATTTAAAAAATGATATATTAATTAACTTCAGCAAGTTTTTTTTTATATAAAATCGTGAAAAAAATTCTTTATTACGTTATGCTCTTGATAATAATATATTGTATATTATTTACATTAAAATACTATATATATATATATATATATATTTCTTATCATACTTTAATTTATATATTTTTAGGGAACTTCACCTATTTGTCACATGGCCGCAAATGTCAGATAATGTAGTAGTGGACAGCGAAGGATATTCGGATCTCGAACCACAACTCGCTCCTGAATGGTCAGTGCAAGTGAAAATGGTAGCTTTGCCAGCTTGTTTACTCGGCGAATATATGAGTGATTTTCTGCACCTATGTAACAATCAGAAAACTATGGTAGAACTATTGGGTGAAAACGCATCTTACATTCATGATGATGAACAGATGTTAAGTTCGGCCTTCAGTGTGCTCACCGAATCCAGAATACCTACAATTTCGGCAGTTGTAGGTAGAGCGAACACGAAAAAGAATAAAAACATCGAGGGTCCAATCTCGGAAGAGATACTGCTACCTATACTTTACTTCCTTTTTCCGGATGCAGATGAAAATTCGGTAAGCTTAAGTTGCTTATCAATTTAATTTGTGATGTTACATATTCTACAATAGTTTCAATTTAAGATTATTTTTCAAGACTGACAAATAATTATGTACTTGGCTTGAACTGGAAATTTACACAATAATTTACACAAATATTATTAAGCTATTATTATTATTATTATTATTATTATTATTATTATTATTATTATTATTATTAT